TTGATATCACCCTGATGGGTTTAGCTGCTGCTGAGCAGAGCTTGCACCAAGTCAAGGACTTTTCAGCTGCTCATGGCCCTGCCAGCATGGAGGGACACAAGGAACTGGGGTGGGCACTGCCAGGACAGCTGACCCATCACTTGTTTTACTTGGGGTTTATTTATTTCTCTGTTATTTTCCTTTTCATTATACAGTATTTTATTATTATCATTATATTTCACTTCTTAAACTGTTCTTATCTGATCCTAACATTTCCTCTCACCTCCACCACTTCCTCATTCCAACATGATAACTGATATTACTGATGTGAGATAGGAAGGATCTCAGTGGGGGGGTTTTGAGGCTTAATTAAAAAAATTGAGTATTTAGGTCAGATGTGGAAACAATTCTATATGCAAAGAGCTCAAAGCATTGCCCAAGTTTCCATATCAGGGTTTGAACAGACACTTCACAGGCTGCAATCCTTTAATGACAAAGTGTTGTGGGCTCAGAATAATGCAAAGTCTTGTCTAAAAATCAGAAATCAAAAACAGAAAACAAATTTAGCTGATCAGGAAAATGAGACTGTTAAATTTCAGATTTCAAAAGCAGCACAGGGACTGATGGGCAGTAAGAAGAACCAAAACAATTACTGGTGGATTTTGCAAGACAAATACAACTGCGCCCTTGAGGTGTCCAGACATTGTGCCCAAAGCAGCCTGTGCTGCCCTCAAGAGCCTGTGGCTTTAACACAAAATCCACAACCTTATCTACCTTGTTCTGTGTACCTGCTGGCTGTCCTCACCATGTCCTTCAGAGCACCACAAGTTCATCCCACACACCAGGAGAGCATCAGGTATGATCTAATTGGTCACTGACTGCTGCTTCCTCACTATACCATCCTGGAATTTGCCTTTTTGGATCAGAAGTGAGAAGTACTGTTAAAGTATACAAAGTCCTTCACACTTCTGTCCTTCCCCTTACTAACTGGAGCAGGACATACCCACAGTGTCACCAGACTCATGGGGGCACAGCTGTGGCAACTTTCAGGGCACACATGGTAGTTCTTAGCCACTGTCAGAAAGGACACTGCCCTCATTGCACCCCAAGGAGCAGCTGAGTAGAGTCACAGCTCACTCAGTCCTCCATCCTCACACACCAGACCTGAGAGGTCTTGAAAGCAAGAGCTGGAAGGCACAGCAGCAAGGAACAGAGGCACTCCAGGGGTTACTGCTGCACTGGCTGATCTCCCTTTGGTGAGAGCCACACCAAAGAACCAAGCACTGCCACATCTGATGCCATTGCAGTTACTCCCTTACTGCTTCCTGCAATGGGAATGTGACTATTTCTTCTGTCATCCTAACTCCACTACTCACCCCATTTTCCTCCACTGCATTCCAGGACAAACAGGAACAACTACCACCCAACACACCATTTTCAATGGCTAAAACAGCCCACAGTGTATTTTGCATACTTTCACTCTTAAATATTAAACCCCAGACATTGCTTTATGACAAGTATTATAATAAGAACATAAAAATAACAAAATCTTAGTCTCTTGGCAAACCTGCAAGAAAGCAAATGTACCAACAGATCTCCACAGTCACCACAAGCATTGCCTTCCAGAAGAGACCAGCAATTCCAGTCAGGGAAGGTGTCCACATGTCACCTGCCCCACAGGCTGCCAGGCTGGGCTGCTCTGTGGGACACAGAGAAGGGTCAGAACAACCCTGAGCATGCACAGGCCGAGAAGTGCCCCAGTGCCTAGGGGTGAGGACTTCTCTCTGCCAGCCCCTCCCTGACCTCCAACACCAGCTGGGTGCCTGCAGAGTGACCCAGGGAGTGAGGACAGCACCCCACACCACACAGCACAGCTCCCAAACCCTCCACTGTGCCAGCTCTGAACTACACCTGAGCCTCACCACCCTTCCAAGACCCCCAGCAGCTTTCCCATTGGATTACACCAGAGTGGTCAGCACTGCGAGTTCAACCACTACCAACATTTCCACCACATTAGAGAGAAAATCTTTAAACAAGATTCCCTTTTCAGCACATTCAGCACAGCTCACAAAGGCTGTTGTGTGTGTTGCCGTTCCTCTTTATCTTCCTCCTAACATTAGAGCTACCATCAGGCATGATCATCTGCCCTGATTAACTCCATTTCACAGTCCAAAAAAAGATTTCTGGTGACAGTGACCACTGAGGTCACTGAGGTCCTGAGCCAGTTACTGCATTGCATATTTATTTGTCAAGCAGCTGCACTGGTTTCCATAAATAGCTAAAATGTGCACTTGATACTACAGAACTTTTAGTAAATGCAGGATTAAAAAAAAAAAAAAAAAACCAAAAAAACCCCCTTGTAAATATTATTCTTATGTCCAGTAAAGCAGCCATGAACTTTGAAACTTGACAGCCAAGTTACAGAAGTCAAGAAGTGCCTTAATGCTACTTAAAGTATCACAGGGGACAGCACAAGAGTGAACTCAGAAGGGACCGAGCACTTCTAATGGTTTATGCAACTTCCTTTTTGTGTGTTCTGCTAAAACATGATTTGCGAGCTGACAAAGCTCAAAGCTTTTCTATATCTTACCAAATCAGTCTTGCTTATATAGTGAATCAAGTTTGCTGGTTTTGCACAACTAGCTGATGTTTTTTACACAGAATTAATATACTTTATGCTGGCCCAAGCATTCAAACAAGAAATGCTGCTTGAGTAGGAAAGCCTGGTGTTACACCCACTATCACGTTCCCTCTGCCCCACACCAGCAGCAGTTACAGGAACCCCACTGGGACCCAGGAGTGACAGAGGGGACTGGCCAGAGAGATGACAGTTTGCTGTCAGTGCTGAAATACCCACAGCAGTAGGACAAGGCTTTCCAAAAAGAGCCAAGTGTATGATGTGGCGACAAAAAGAGCAAATAAAAGTGATCATGAACACAAATGCCCTGATACATGGCAGGGAGGCCACGGGAGCCTCTAGCCTTACCCATACAGTGATGGGATTTAGGTTTAATATGACTGCTCCAGGGCTCTGTCCCTAACCAAGTCTAAAGTTCTCCTGAAAGATATGAAGGCTTGCCTGAGTACTGATCCTGAAATGATCCAAACAGACATTGTGCTGTGGGAGTCTCTCAGCGCCTCAAGGTTACAATGTCCTGTGTCTTGATACATGTCTGTATCTTCCTATCTCTCCCACAGGTGTCCCAGCAAGAGCAGAGACCCCATGCCTGAGAACAGACAGCACTCTAGACGCTTAACAAAGCACCACAGTAGGCAAGGCAGGAAAGGTAAGGACATGCCAATGGTATTGAAAGAGTCTGGCTTGGACTATGGCTCCCTCTCAACCACAGACAGTTGATAAATCTGGTGGTATGAAATGTACAAAGATTCAATGTCCACATTGCTAATCACACACTTCTGAAATAGTCCTTTGTTATATCATGCCTCAGCACAAAACATACTTCATGAACTTCCTAAGCCAGTTAGTATCTGCCCCCAAGTCCAAGCATAGAAAGACCTAGCTATGGGTTCTTGGCTTTAGGAAATCACACAGTGCAGGTACAAGCTCTAAACACACCATGTGCAGAGAGAGAGCCTGGCAGGAGGAAGAGAACATGGACACAGCAAAAGAGAACAGTTTTAAGATACAGTGGTACCGTTTAAATAAAAATGCCATTTGCTATCGGTGTTTTTCCAGGAAATCCTTCTCGTTTCAGCAGTACCACCCCAAACTTTACCCATGTTACCTCCCAAGCCTAATGCACCTATTCATGAGCTAGTTACATCTGCTCTCCACATTGCCTTTTTCCTTTAAAACCCCAACCAAACAAAAACAAATGCCTTGATGACTAGAGCTGAAACACAAAGCTAGGATGGCAATTCGTCCGATGGGAGAACTGCCAGGACAAGGGTAAGGGCAGCCTTTGGGTGTGCACAGGGCAACACCTGCTCCCTCTGCTCATCCATGCAGGTCCCAGAACACACCTGAGCTGGTCAGTCTTTACAGCATCTGTGGACGGCACAGGAAATACACTAAAGGACACAGTTTTACCTATTTGAGAGAAAATGTCCATTTCTAGTTATTGCAAGGTTGCATTCAGGTTCCAACCTGCTCCACACTGACATCAGCTACTGACTCAGAATTGGGGATATAAGGAAATTCATTATTTTCTAAAAGACAAGGTGGGTATTCTGCCAGCTCCAAGGCACATATTTTCCAGTTGCCCAGGGTTTCACTTGCCAAATACAGCAGCATTATATTTATATCTATATCTGTTCTGCCCTCCCACAGAGGATAATCCACCTCCTCACACATTCTGGCAAAGAAAAGCAGACAGCAGATGCAATTTCTTCTTGGAGATCCTCTATGCAAATGTGACTAACTTGAGAAGCCAGCTTTAGCTTCCCCATTAACCTAACAGGGATACAGTCCTGTGTGCTGGGCTGCTGGAAGCTCAAAGCAAACTCTGCCAGCCGCACACACTGGTTCCTTGCAAGGGAACATGAGGATATATTGGCATACACTGCATATCTCCATGTTTGACTGGGAGAAGAGGGTTTTTACAGAACATCTGAATACAGAACATACAGGAATGTTCATATCCTCCATGCTTACTGGCAAACCAGTGCTAAAAATACAAACTGGTCCTTAAATACATCTCATTAGACCTTTGAGTCACCAGATCCCTGTGGGTCAGTCCCAGTTCACAGCACATGAGCTCATGCCCGCAGGAAAGGGGCAACCAAGGGCTAGAAGGCAATGGGTTAAAGTCAAATGGAGGAGCAGATGGATCCTCTGTTCAAAGCAGCAGCATGCCCTTGAACACCACCAGAAAGGGAGATGGCACCACTCTGTACCCCTGCTGGGAGTGCTGTGGCGTGGGAATGTGGTCAGTTCTGAGAGGCATGCTGAGCTTCTTTGGAAGTAAGAGTAGAAAACTTATGGTAATTTACAGAAAGCCAAGCACCACTCTGTCCTACTGAGATACTCTTTCTCTGCTTCTAGGAACGAAGAGACTAAAATGTTCAACTCCAGCACAAACTCCTTGGGAAACAACTGCAGCTACAACAAAGTGATAACAACGAGAGTCATTCCCCTGCTCTACAGCTTCATCTTCCTGGCAGGGTTCTCGCTGAATGTCGTGGCAGCCTGGGTCTTTCTGCACGTCTCCAGCACAAAGAGTTTCATTGTCTATCTCAAAAACATCGTCGTGGCCGATCTCCTCATGAGCCTGACCTTTCCTTTCAAAATCTTTGCCGACTCAGGACTTGCATCTCCAGAGCTGAACCTATTTGTGTGCAGATACTCCGCGGTCGTGTTCTACACGAGCATGTACATTGGGATCACCTTTTTTGGCCTCATTGGGTTTGACAGATACTACAAAATTGTAAAGCCTTTGTTCACCTCCTTTTTCCATACAGTTAACTACAGCAAGGTGATATCTGTAGTCATATGGCTACTGTTAGGGCTGATATCATTCCCAAATATGATTTTAACTAATGAAATCACTAAAGACAGTGATCCCATGGAATGTATGGGCCTTAAAAGTGAGCTCGGGAAAAAATGGCATGAAGCATCAAGTTACATTAGCATAGGGATTTTCTGGGTTGTCTTTTTCCTATTAATTTTATTTTACACTTCCATATCTAAAAAAATATATAGCTCTTACAAAAAGTTCCGGAGGAACTCAGATGTGGCCAGGAGGAAAACCAGCCGGAACATATTCAGCATCATGTTTGTGTTTGTCGCCTGCTTTGTGCCCTACCACCTCTGCAGGGCCCCCTACACCGTGAGCCAGACTGGCTCCAAGTTCTCCTGCCAGACCCAGAAATCGCTGTTCTATGCCAAGGAGTTCACTCTGATATTCTCTGCTGCCAACGTCTGCCTTGACCCCATCATTTATTTCTTCCTCTGCATCCCCTTTAGAGAAAAGCTGTACCAAAAACTGCATCTCTAGCTTCACGTGAGGGTGAAATTTCTAAATCCAGGAGATCAAAGACACTTCAGAAAAGCATAAACACCATGTAGGTTTGGGGCTGCACAATAATGCACATTTCAGAAGTTACTCATGAATGTAAATGTCCCAAAGAAACAGCAGATGAGAACCAGCAACAAACAGCAAAGGAGTTTCAGCACAAAACACCAAGTGCTGTTTCTCTGTCTAAAACCATTACTGCATGTGCCAATCCATTCACTATGGGGTGCTTCAGCTGATGCTGTGATTGCATTGGAGTGTGATACAACCCACCCGGACCTCAAAAACAGCGAGAGGAGTACCTGGAGCAGCAACTTCTGGAGCTCCAGGCCATGGGTCTCTGAAAGGGTCATCCAACAGACCCAGAACCAACTCATTTACTCTGTTTCTCACCCAGCCAGACACAACATAAGATGGTCACCAAACCAGCCTGACAGCCTTGGCAACAACCAGTGGCAGGGGCAGAGCCCTTGGAAGCAACACAAGGACATTCAGCATGAAGCACTCAGACTTAGCCTCCACCAGCCCATCCAAGGGGACTGAGATGACACTCCAAAGGAAAGCTCATGTATCTACTGGGTTACAGAGCAAAGGGCTGGAGGCAATGCACAACTTAAGAAAGGACTCTGCCAACAACTGAGGGGGAAAGACAATAAATAAATAACAATAAATAAAAAATATACACTGCAAATCCTCACAGATCTGTACAAAGCCTGAAAAAACCTTGAAAAAAATATGTATGTATCTAAGTTTTCTTAAGGGAAACATTCTATAAAATTAAGAATTACACATGCCTATTTGTCACCCTTGGGCACCAAATGTCAGGATGTTTCTATAAGATGCAATGTTCAGTATAAACTACTATAAAGTAAATAGCACAGTTACCCTGCAGCGTCTTCCTCAGGAGTACTCTGAACTAACCTGGTGAAAACAAACAAGTCCACACCAAACTGTTAGCAACTCCCTCCCTGCTGGTGCAGGAGGCAAGAACATCACAGAGCCACCCGGGAACACATAGGTACAGCTTGTCTAGGAACTCCAGGAACATTTAAATCCAGAAGGAATGGTTTGTTGGTTTTCCCATGCTTTTGGCATCGTGACAAAGCATTTCTGTCTGTACCAAGGTAGCAGTTGAGAGCCACCAACCCGCTCTGTACAAATATAATCTCTTTTATAACTCTGTTCTTCAGTGCAGCTTTTTTTTTTCTTAATTGAGTTTGTCATTGTACAGGGAAAACCCACCAGGGCATAAAGTCCCCACTGAAGCTTTCAGGCAGTGGTTCTGGAGGCTGAATGCTTTCATTTTACTTAACAAATAAGTATAGGAACAGAAATACCATGTGCTTCACTTTCTTGTCACTGAGTTTCAGTTTAGTCCTAACAGATAAGGATGGAAGGTTTTTAATCATCTGGTCCTTGCACCTTCACCCAGGCTATGGGTAACTCCTCTTGGTCTGACACCAGCATTCTGCAGCAGCAGGATTCTACCACCCCACAGGATTGTATTCCAGCTAAAGCTCCGGACACCTTTTCTGAGTTCACACACATCTTTGTGGCGCAAAATTGCCTCCGTGTTTCCCACTTGCCGGGAGAGCAGTCCCAGCCTGATCCCAGTGAGCACCAGCACCCCATGCCTGGGTCAGCATAGGTGTCCATTGGGCCCTGGGGGTCCCTAACCCAAACCTGCCCCCCGGGACCACAGGAGGAGGCTGAGTTCTGGTTGTGTTTGTTACAGACCATCCATAAAAGATTATTTATATGGCCCTTTCAGAGCTTCTCGACTGTCAGACTGAGGCTCTGCAGGCCCTGCCCTCCCAGCAAGAGAACCAGCCTGCTGGGAAAGGGACTCTGGTGCTTTGGGGAAAATTTTTTGTCATTTATGGCAAAAACATTCAGCTCCCTACACAGCAGGGCTTGGTATTTGGCTACATAAATCCACATAATCTCAGCTGTGAAAGATCACTGGCATAGACAGACAAAAACACTTCCACAACATATATGTGAATAACTTTTTAATTGCTTAGCAAGCTTTGAAAAGATCATTTATGTTGTATAGTTGTGTCCTCGCCCAACCAGATTACAACCTTGGAATGACAAGAAGCTACATGTAGGCACCAGGGGAAAGGATGGTGATCCACCCCCTGGTTCACAAGGGACACTACACTTCCAGTTTTTGGTTGATATTGAAGAAATGCGCCTCCTACAGCTTCACTACTCAGGAAATGCTCCTGTGCCCTCAACCCTGCTGCAATCCCACCCTGAGAGTGACAAGTCCCAAATAACACCAGTGTCAAGCCAAGCCTCTGCCCCATCTCCCCAGCCTTGCTTCTCACTTTGCTGGATGAAGTAGGGCCAGTATTTTTCAGCACTGGGTAAATTAACCCTTTCACACCTCTGATACCCCAAGACAGCTCCTCACACTCCCTGGGAACTCCTTCCCAGGTCTGCTTTCCTCCCAAGACACTCTGCAGGAAGGTGTTCTGGGTTAGACCACGACAGAAGGGCAGATTGCTCCACAGTAAAGGTTTATCCAACCATCACTTTGTCTTTTAGACCTGGAAAAGTTTCCTGAGCTGTAAACTGACTCTGCAGAAAAGTGGAGACCAACAGACAGAGACAGAAGCAACTGACAGTGCTGCAGTTTGGGCTTAAAAAACCCCACAAGTATGGTAAGATCAGTTTGGCATGAGCACATCATCATGAAATGAGTCCATGTTTGTTCACAACTGGACACAGGATCACTCCAGATTATGAAGCTTTGCAAACATTTTGACAAATATGGTCTGAACTTGAAGCTTATGAGTGAACTTAAAACCAGACATTCTTCATCTGTTCCTTCACAAAGCTCTGGTACACGATTTGTAAATTCCTGTGGATTCCCAGCTAGAACCAAGTGCCAACAGCTGGAGTTTCAGTATTGCTGTCAGTACCTCACCTCCAGCATGGGGTCAGACTTCTCTCATGGCATGCAAAAAAACCCCAAACTAAATCAAAGCAACAACAAAAAAAAAATTCCCCTACTTCCCTAATGTGTCATTTTGATTTTAAATAGTGCTTGGCAAATGTCCAAAGGTTCAGAATGTTATTTCCAATCAGCAAAATCCCTACATGCCTTCAAATCTGCAAATTAGGGCTCAATGTAGGACAAACACTCGTGAGATTCCCAAAGCCTGGAACTTCATAAGGGAATATTACAATGAATGAGGACTGACTACAGTACAAAATCCTGGTTCCAGACAGATTTCGAATGTGAGAGATATGGCAAGAACAGAGTTTCAGATGTTTACAAACAAAAGCAAAGAAATAGCCACTGATGACACAAAACCTCAGGTCAGGGATCCAGGACTGACTGGATGGACTTTTGGGAGTCACATGAGAAAGTTCACACACTGGGCTGACCAAACCACATATCTCATCACCCTTACATCTGTGAACACATAGTAAACTCAAACACAAATCCTCAGCCTTGAAACCAGCAGGAGAGAGTGCACAGGGCAGTACCACAGGGGTCAGCCAGGCCAGAGCTCCATTCTCTATCCCAGTCAGCAACCTGACACAGGCAGGTCTAGCACCTCTTATCATCTTCCCTCTACAAAAATGTACTGGGAACCATAAAACCGTGTGAGACTGGCCACAGCAATACATCTGACCAGGCTGTTCCACAGCCCATTGCCCATCACTCCGGGTTTGCCCTGCTCAGCACCTCGGGCTCGAGGAGCTGCACGGGTGGAGAGGCTCTGCCCTCCGTGTGCCTCTGCCCCAGGAACAGGAAAGAGAAGTCTCTGGGCTGTTCCATGAGCACTTACGTGTGTCTGTCACCGCTCCTTCGGGTAACTTCCACGTGATTTGGCTGTTTGAGCGCTGGGTTCAGCTGCGTCAATCAGCTCAGTTAAAACCACAGCCACATGCTCAGAGCCCACAGAGGCAGCCCAAGGAGGTCACACGCCATCAGGCTGGAGAGCAGTCACTGAGCGACATCAGACCTTCACAGACCAATGCTCAGCAGACCCCAGGCCACAGCTACAGGTATGTGCTTTCAGTCTGTCTGTTCCAGCCTGCTTAGACCTACGTGAATATACAGCCTGAAACCTGTGCCGAACACACAGGAGGTTGGGCTCAGGCATTTAGCAAACCAGTGCCAGTAGCCACTCTCACCCGGCCACAGCTGTACCCTCAGGGGCTCCAGTCCAAGCAGCCCCTCAGGGCTGGATTTGCTGGTGCCTCCTCACCCTGCACAGGACGAGGATGAGCTGAGCTGCACTGTGCCACGGCACAGGAAACTCCAGTGCCCTGGGACCACGGCAGTGAGCCCAGACACCGAGAGCACTGCCTGCCCTCACCCAGACCCAATTCAACCCAGCTACCTGTTCTCAGGACAACAGACATCGGCAGAAAGAAAATCAAACTGTTTTTTTCCCCATGTTAAACAGCTAGAGTATCTGAAAAAATTTTGGTTTACACATTATGCGCATCTTGGTATGTATTTTACAGCAGAAAATACATGTGCAGTTGCAGTACTTCTCTTACATTGTATTTTAAAATTAGGAACAATATAAAGAGATAGAAACATAGCAGACTGATGCTACTCAAGTCATAAATGTATGGAGTTTCAATCCATGAAACTCGAAGGAACATGCCCTTCTTTCCCAAAGCCATTCTATGCAGCAGCCTGACAGTGCAGCAAACAGACCACAAACCCCTCTGTCATGGGGCTGTGTATTTAGCTAAAATAGGACCAAAATTCTCTACTTTTCTTTCCTGTAACTTCTAGTGAAGACTAAAAAGGAGGTGGAAAAAATCACTTGTTATCTGCCTCTTTCAACATGTGCTTTTTCTAAAGGCTTCATAGAAACATACAATTAATTTGCTCAAGTGGGAAGAGAGAGCAGTTTGCAAACCCTTAGCAGTGATCAGAACCATTTGCTCACCCATCTGATATATCCATTTATTAGTCTGACAGAACATTCACTCAGAACTCCCAATGCATTTTCATAGAAGACTACTATAAATATTACCTTTTCTTAGGCAAAGTGTTCAAAAATTATCAAGTTTTAGTACAACTATGATTAACCAGAAGCTTAAACAGTTTCAAATCTTTTTCTCTGGAGTTCTGGCTGGAGAGGATGTTGAACCAAACACACTCAGAAAGGCTGCTCTAGTGGAAAAGCTGCTCAGAAGACTCTGTGCTTTCAGGAACAAACCGTAATGCATTCATAGCTTTTCCAATGTGAAAACAAAGCCCTCTTGAATATCTCAGAAGCAGCAGGAAGAGAGAGAGAAACATTTCTTCCCAATTGCATTTTTTTCTTTAAATTAGTCAAACAAAATTCCTAGAGAACAACTACAGTCGCTCAGGAAAGGTTGATGTCATTGATGTCCTCTTGGTTCATTTTGTAGGTCCTTGATATCTCCCCTCAGCAAAGCCAACTCAAGGAGTTAACAATGTCAGGCAACAATTCAGACTGCCATGTCCATGATGAAATGGAACCTTTTACCTACTTCTACTACCTGATTTTTCTTATGGGCTTTATTGGAAGCTGTTTCGCACTGTGGGCATTCACACAGAAGGATCAGAAGCAGAAGTGTATGAGCATCTACTTAATCAACCTCCTCACTGCAGATTTCTTGTTGACTTTGACATTGCCAGTGAAGATTATTGTTGACCTAGGAGTTGCGCCCTGGAACCTGAGAATATTCCATTGCCAAGTGACAGCCTGTTTCATCTACCTCAACATGTACCTATCGATCATATTCCTGGGGTTTGTGAGCATGGATCGCTGCCTCCAGCTGATGCACAGCTCGAAGATCTACCGCATCCAGGAGCCTGGGTTTGCCATGATGCTGTCTGCAGTCGTGTGGACCTTGGTTCTGCTCCTCACTGTGCCCAACATGGCTATCCCCATAAAACACATTGAAGAAAGACCTGGTGTGGGCTGCATCGATCTCAAGACGCAATTCGGGAAGGACTGGCACGTGTTCACTAATTTCATATGCACTGCAATATTCCTGAACTTCTCAGCTGTGATCCTGATTTCCAATTTCCTTGTTGTTAGGCAGCTGTACCGCCACAAGTACAGTGAGAGCTATGGCAGCGTGAGGAAGGCACTGACCCACATCCTGCTGGTTACAGCCGCGTACCTGCTCTGCTTCGTGCCCTACCATATCGTGCGCATCCCCTACACGCTGAGCCAGAGCGACACCATCACCAGCTGCCCCCTCAAACGGGCTCTCTTCAAAGCTAAGGAGTCCACCTTGCTGTTTGCCATCTCAAACCTCTGCTTTGACCCCATTCTCTATTACCATCTCTCCAAGTCCTTCAGGCTGAAATTCACGGAGACGTTTGCATCACCCAAGGAGACAAAGGCTCTCACAGAGACAGAGGTGCAGCACAGCAGTGAACAGCAGATGCACAGTCCTGACTCTGAAGCACAGGAGGAGGCTGTGCCCACCTGTAGCACTGACAGCCACTGGGTGACTGCAAGCATGGCCACCGCGGCTGATGACACTCCTGATAAGTCGTGAGCCCAAGCAGAAGGAAAAGACTTGATCAATCAATCCCCATCACTGTGTTACACACTCACACAGAGGGTCTGAGCACACAGAGCCTCCAATGATGCCGTCCACAAACAGCTCAATCCACGGTGGTGACCCACCAGGGACCAGCAACACGTCAGAATATGTGTTCAGACTCAAACATACCTTAGAATTATTTATGGCAAACACCTGAACTCACCTTTTTTAAGTTAAATATTATGTATTTACTATATAAAACAACTTGGTGTGATCAAGTGAAGAAATTATTTAATGGCAGTTCTTCAGCTGCAAAGTTTTCACACATAGGATTAACCCAAAAGCATTTTTGAGGGCATTATTTACTCCAGAAAGGGATTTCTAGCTGGACTGATTAGACATTATTGTATCTGCTTACAACATACCTGCACGTTTTATAAATAAATTTCTAGCTCTTGCCAAGTTCCATTGCCTCTTCTTGCTGCAGCTTCAATGAATGCAAAAAAAAAAGCTAACAACATGTTATTTCAGAAAATTCAAGCCAATTTTAAAATGAAGATTAAAAGTGTAAGTATTCACAGCATGTTTTCTTTGCTTGATTTCTTTTCATAAAAATGTATGAAACAGCAACCAAGTTTATTAATATTCTAGTTACAAATACTTCCAAAAATAATGCATGTGTAGAATACTCAATAATCAATTTGTATGAGCAAAGTCCAGTTACCAGGATTAGCTCCATCTGCAAATCAAAACTATTCTAGAAAGAAAACTAAATCAGGTTATCTTTTTTCTAATCCTTTTTTTCTAACCCATTGTAAAATGGGCAAAATATGGCTCATGCTTTAAGCAACCATTCAAAACTGCTCACTCAGCATTTTCATAACAATTTTCCTGTGATAAAACAGAAGCCAAACTTCTTGGGGTAAGAAATTCAGAGGAAAGAATACTGAGACTATCACATCATGCTCTCACGTGACACTTCCTGGACTGACAGGATTTGATATTGTTAAAAAACTGTCATTGTTGTTTAAAAATAACAACCATTCTCAATTAGGGACATTCCAACTTGAGTCCTGTTTAGTATTCGGGGCCTTTTTCCAGCACAGTGGAAAACATGAGAACCACCGGCATGAGGGCTGAGTCTGTTACTCAGGGCTTCCTCCAGCTCCCATGAGCCTGCAGACAGCACATCAGCATTCAAAAATCTAGGCTGGGAACAGTGTAGAGTAGGCAAGAGGAAGGGACACCTGTCCCACCACCCTGTCCAATACAAGTCAGAGTTATTTCTTTCAAGTATTTTGGGGTCCATTTGTTTGCACAAGTCCAGTATAAAATGTTCTAGTTAGCAAGACTTAGACCCTAGGTCATGGTGGGTTACTGTGGTGCCTGTTCCTGAAGTCCAGTGACCACTGTACTTGTCTCCGTGGAAACACTCTGTTGTCCTGTGAGGCAGCACCACAATGCACATGAGCACAGGTCACTCACGAGGGGTAGGGGGAAGTGTGTGGCACAGGTCACTCACCATGGATATGAGGAAGGAGTAGCACAGGTCACTCACCAGGGGTATGGGGAAGTGTGTGGCATACTGGAGGTGGCGAAGGAGGTCGTAATTGGATGGGAAAATCAATTCTCTTAGCCTCTCCCTCTTGGCTGGCTTCTCGCTGGTGACTGAGATCCTTCTGTCGAAGGAAGAGGTCATGTTCTCACAAGACTCCCCAGGCATCGGAGAAAAGATCTGAGACATGTAAAGCAAAGGTTTAAGGTAAGTGTTACCTCCAGCTTTCAAAATGCAGCAGCTGCAGCCAGAGATAGGATTTGTTCTTGCTCACAGCAACTTGTTAAATATCTGAGGTCTCTCAAAGACAAAGCAAGGGCAATCATAACCAAGCCTGGGATTTAAGATACATGTGCACATTATATCTCTGTGCATATCTTCATGGTTATTAGACAAGTTTTAACCCAGAGATATTCAGTTGGGGGAAAAGCATTCAGATTCTGAGCAATCTCCACACCCCTCATGCTGCTGTGACACAGAAACCATGATGAGCTGTTGCAGCAACGGAGGGAAATAATGAGAAGGGTGAAGTGGGAGGTGACAAAAGACAATGTAGGCAGGCATGGACGTGCTTGAAACCACCAACATGAGAGATATCTTGCAGAAACAGGGTCCCAGTATCCTGCAAGTGATAGGTCTGGGCACAGGAGTCAATGCAGAACAAGAAGTCCATAGGAAGAAACAAGAGAATTCAAGGGTAATGCAGAATCAGGCAAAGGGAAAGGAAAAAGAGGGGAAAACGGATTTGGAAGACAGAACCAAAACATAGAACTGTCGCTTGAGAAGCAGATGGCATCAGTGCCATCCTCAAACAAGTGGGGAGCTCTGCATGTTCATTCACTGTAACACACAGCACTCAATGCGCTGGGGACAGGAAGGGGAGCAGGGAGAGGAGTGTGAACATGCAGGGGGACAAGCAGGGAAGCACAGAGGCGCAGCACACTGAACACAGCTGAGATGCAGAGCGATGAGGCAATGCACTGACACAGACAGCAGGGACTGGATCCCAGAGGACATGGGCTGTGGATGGAAGGAGCAAGTTGGTGAGGGGACATGGAGGGACATTCAGTGGCAACAGCAACAGCAGCCACAGGAAGCAGAGGCATCATAGGCATGCAGAAAATCAAAGGCAAACCTACTGGAAATTCCGAACCAAAATCTGCCTTAAAGTCACTCTTGTCTACATCATCAAAAATGCCAGTGGTTCCTGAGTCAATGCCCATATGTTCCATAATACCATGATCCTAATAATGGTCAGAGAGAAAAACAAGCTTCAGTCACATTGTATTGAAGAACCATTTAACTGATCACAGGTAAACCCAAGCACTCCAAGTCATTAAGAACTGTGTCTGTTTCTGCCAAGTTATTCAGATCACCAGAGAGCTGCCACTTCAGTACATCTGCACCAAACCAGCAATATTTACAGCTATACACAGCAATGAAGCTAATGGGTCCCTTTCAGCCTTCTCAAAGAGAAAGAGACAATGACACACAGAATAAAAACCCCAATAGCTCATATCTGGAATGCTGACGCTACAGTGAAAACCCACACTTAAAGAAACAAGACAGCAAATGTGGGAATAGCATGAAGTGTTACCTCCAGTTTCACTTCGTGATCCTTAGAGTAGTGTCCATCCACAGCTTCCCCATTAGGGGAACATGGTCTGGGAGCTGCAGTGATAGACAAGTCCCCCCGAGATATCAAAGTGCACATATAGGCATCGTGGGAGAAAACATCATGCCGAGTGAATTCTGAGAACAGCAGTACCAGATTCACAAATTCTGTCTTCTCGTGGTCACTGCTTGGGTCAGCTACCCGAAAAAGCGAAACAAAAATTAAATTCTATTTTCAGTTTATGAATATTTGGGTTTGAGCTATCCAAATCACAGGCTCAGCACATTAGTTTTTCAAGGCCTACTAAAAACATCTTGGGCATCTGCACAGGTTTCTGTTTGTCTCCACAGAAAAAAACATTTCCCACTTAACCTGCACAGTCCTGTTTCACTGTCAGCTCCAGACACAGGACAGACCTCAGGCAGCAGTGGGTTCCAGAGCATCCCACCCATACACACCTGCCCTGGCTGGGGACAGGGGGAATCAGCTGCCAAGTACAATGTTCAAATACATCTCAAAATTAAACCAAAGTGGGAAGAGGGCCAAGAACATGCCTTGTGTGAAGAAATATTAACCTGAAGGTTTGGATCATAACAAGCCACCCAAATGCTGCCCTCTCTCCTCCCAAATTACTGTCTAACCTACAGCACTTGTGCATTCATAGCACAAAACCTGATAAAACCTTCGTGGGGAACTGGGGCTCTGCATGCCAACCCTCCAGGATGGAAAGGCAATATTTTCATTAAAGCCTGACAGTGCAGAGTAGTTTATCTATTAGAGATGTTCATGCACATCAGGAAAACAATGATTAAAATGATGCATGTTATTTTGTCAGCACTAAGCAAAGCCTAGAGAAACACAACATATAAAATGTTGCTATTAAGTTTTCATTTGTCACAGCTGTATTTAATTTGACTTGTTCTCTACCACAAAGGTTTGCAACATTGTGGTTAACAGAAAACAGCTTTGTACCACATCAAGTCTATCGGGCTACAAAAGAACTACCAAACTCAAATTATCATCATTTATCTAAAAGCAAATTATGCTTTAGCATTCGAATTAGCTCAGCATGTAATGCTGAGTCTGTTTAGCAATCCTCACTAGGCTGCAGCACAGCAGCTGTGAGTCTGCCCAGGAGCGGCTGGGGTCTGGGTCAGAACCATCCCTGCAGCCCCAGGTCCCACTCACCCCAACCCTCCTCAGGAGTGAGGAATTGGGCTGCATGGAGGAGCATCCCAACACACACACACATGAGCCCAGGTGAGCTCTCCACCAAAACATAGCCCCATGTACTTCTCATTTTTGGAGACTCACAAACTCAACCACTGTAAAACCAACATGACACCACAAAACTTGTTCAGTGATCCAAAACACCAAAGGACATTTCCAACACAGCAAACACTCCCAGCTCCCTCCCTCCCCTGCCTCACAGAGCTCTACAGGCAGAGGAGGCTGATACCACACAGCAGAAATACTAGAAACACAACACTTAACAACACAAATCATTTGGGGGGTTTATTAAAGCCAGAGTCACCACCAGCATGAAAGCAGAGCACTGCCAATACCTCTGAGTCTGATACACAGTTTTAAGAAGTTTCTCCTTTTTCAGATGTTGAGAGTTTTCTGTATCCTGTTTCAAATGACTTTAAAACCCCTTTACTTTAGGGACATCAGGAAAAAATGATCCTTTAACTTGCAGTACTGAAGATGCCAGAAACATCAGCTATGCTATCAGGCAGTTTTATCAGACCAAGATATGTCATGGAGCAGCCCTTGATGAACAAAGACTCTTTCCTCAATCCTCTATCTGTCACCCAACAGATTTTGACTGTAACACCTGGG